GGGGGTTACAAGGGAGGGGAGATGAGGAAAAGAATACAGCTTAGTTACTTTACTGCTTTTGTTTGTTGTTTATTTTTAAACGTTTTTCGTTGACCTGAAAACACTGTTAGTTAATTCATTTAAAAAATGTTCATTTGTAAGCCTATCTCGTTAAATTGTAAAAACATTGTTCGCTAATTTGTAAACATATTTCGCTAATGAGTAGGCATTGTTCGTTATTTTGTAAGAGAAGGCTGCAGTCGCCACCCTGACAAAATTTAAAATATCATACCAACTGAACTTGCTTAATATGTCCCGCGCGCTCATATGACCTTATGCAGTTGTGAGCGCCGTAAAACACTCACTAATTATAAAAATAATAATAAATATCACCTGTCTCTTTCTTCTGTGACCAGGGCAACCTCGTGCGTCAACATATCCTGACCCATGGTCACTTTCCAGTCAACGTCCGTCTGCTAATTAATTTGTAAACATTATTCCTTAACTATTTTGTAAACATTCTTCGTTACTTAGATCGTTGTGGGTGGTTGGCGGGTTCTCTGGTGTGGTCTGCTCCTTCTTTTCTATCAAACAACATCTATCGTCCTGATCTCTCCTCCTACTGTTTTATGATTGTTTACTCTCTTGTAACACTTTTAATCTTCGGTATTTATATGACTTTATTGTGTTGCAAGTGCCGTAAAGCTCTTACTAAAACTTTAAAAAACTTAGATCGTTTACCTCCAGGACGGTGTAGAGGCTGGTGTGGGGAGGGTACTTGATCTTGGCGGGCTGGACAGAGTCCTCCAGGAGCAGCCGTTTCTGCAGGTTCACCTCAAAGAGAGAGGCGAAGGCACGCTTGGTGTTAGCGGACCAGCTGGTCTCACGGTCGTCCAGGGCGATGTCCATCACGTGACCGTTGTCGTACCTGGACGGGAGGCGTAGCAGGGAGATAACGATAAGACGATGGTATTAATAATGATACAACTACTGAAACGTTGATACAGTCATATTAAAAATAGTAATAGTACTAATGATGATAATGATCGTCATCATCGTTAAGAAGAAGAAGAAGAAGAAGAAGAAGAAGAAGAAGAAGAAGAAGAAGAAGAA